CTGTATTTCATACTCTCTGTTCTATCTCCTTCTTGGTCATCTGTCGTATTATTTATAATTATAAAAATACCTTCAGTCTGCAACATTCTAGCACCCTATCAGGGAGAAGGTGGTGGTTTCTTTTTGGATAAGGTGGTGGTCTCTCTTTCTCTCTTTTTCGAGAAGACACCAGGAACCGAAAGGGAATTTGCCCAGGATAAGTGAAACTTTCGGGAAAATTAAAATCAGGGTCATGAGAAAATCCTCATTCCTTGGAAGTCAAAGATAGAATTAAAAAATTTCATGACAATTCTCTCACCCCTTGACAAAGAAAGACAAGGGAAGAATGATAAAAAAATTCAGAGTAGAATTGGTAAAAAAGAGTCATGGGGAACAAACAGCCCATCCTCTGAAGCTGAGTATATTACATTAATTAAAGAATTACTTAAGAGTTCAGGGGTAAAAATAAGAGAAAAGTAATTTTTTTCAGTTGTTTGAGTATGTGCAGAAACATTGTCGCTGGTTGAAACTGGTAAATAAAACACAGTTAAATTTAAAAACTTGTCAAAATTTTGTGCAAGCTTTACGAAAAGCACATCAAAAAGGGAACAGACTTCTATTAATTTTTGGCCAGTAAGAGCTTTAAAAAGAATAGCAAAAAGGTCTGTGCAGGATAGTACTATTAATAAAAAAAATTTTGCAAAGAAAGATGGCTAAATCTTTGCATGAGTCTGAATGAAGTAATATTACATTAAAAGAGGTTGAAGTTCATGGCGAGAAACAGCCTGTGTCACCTTTAGAAAGACCTTATCAAGAGGGAGATGTGAGTCCTGTTTCGGTTTGGTTACTATGTGATTTGATCTCATTAGCTTTAAAACCATTACGGTCTCAAGAGGAGATGTCTGAAAAGTTAGAAGAAAAAGACTCTTCAGAAGAGAGTGATAGTGAATCTGATACAAAATAGGATGAATTTCCTCTACCTCCAACTCTGGAGGAATTGAAAGATAATTCAGTCCTTATGAGAAATTAAGTAAACAAGTTTTGGAACTTTCTAATAAAATAGACAAATTGGGTTCTTGTAATGAGATATATTACCAGAGTAAAAATACAGCTCCATCAGCAGCAACTGTTTCAGGTTCTATGTTATTTAATAATAGGAATCATGCTCCGGTGGGAGTGACTACTTTTAAGAAGCCTTTAACAGCCATGCCTAAAGCCTTGCAACAGACAAAGCAACATGATTTATATAATTGGGTGAAAGGAGCTTCTGTATTTCCAGTAAGAATTCAGAATATGCCTCCTGATGAAGATTATCCCCCAGGGTATAAATTGTATCAACATCAGTCTTTATCTTATAAGACAATTAAAGAATTAAAGCAAACCATAGTTTCTTATGGTATGCATTCTACCTATGTAAGAGGCATATTACAAAGATTAGCTACAGAATTTAGATTAAATCCTTATGATTGGTAATCCATGGTCAGGACAGTTATGGAATGTGGAGCATATTTACAGTTTAGAACTTGGTGGATGGATGAAGCTACAAATATGGAGAGGATTAATTTATCTAGAAATCGTTTTAATGTTACTGCTGATCAATTGTTGCAGGAAGGTCAATGGCTTAGAGTAGGAGCTCAGTTACAATATGATGATGCTGTGATTGTATAAGGAAGGTTTTGCTGTATGCAAGCCTGGGATAATGGAGATCAATCTTTTATCAGAACAACACAATCTGAAAATTTAAAATATACTGATTTTCTATCTAGATTAAAGGATGCAATTGATAGAGCAATATCCCAACCCAAGGTTCATGAGCTTTTGTTAAAAACTTTAGCATATGAAAATGCTATTTCAGAATATCAAAAGGCTATTAGACCATTGAAGACTCAGAACGCTTCCCTAGATGAATATATATGTGCTTGTATGAACATTAGAACTAGTTCTTATCAAGACAATCTAATAGCTTCTGCTTTAAGAGGAACTGTTAATATGAACGTGTATTCCCTAAGCACAATTGATAACAGTGCATCTAAATTCTAAAATCAATCTCCACAACAGTCTATGTGTTTCCTATTGCCAAAGGGGCCCTTTAGAGTAGTGACAGAAGATCTTCACCCTGGGACCTGTGGCATCCTTTTCCAGCAGGAAGTAGCTAAGATAAGACAGTGCCCCTTCTCCTAATGAATCAGGATAAAATCTCTCTCAGGGAGGAGTGATAGGGAATGGCAAAGGACAGACTGACAAAGGAGATTAATCAGACCTGGTTTTGACAAGGACTGTGGCAATAGGACAATAAAAACAGACTCTCCAGGAATATTCAAACTGAATCCTTCTGATCATATGGAGATTTTTGAAGGTACTTCTTTGAGTTTGTTATCTTTAATTTATTTCATTTGTTGTTGTTATGTGCCATCGAGTCAATTGCGACTCAGAGCAACCCTATGTACAACAATCCTAAACCCCGCTCTGTCCTGTGCCTGTCACACTGTCTCTGACACTCCCATCCAGATTGCCCCAGTCATTGAATCAATCCACCTCATAGAGGGCCTTCCCCTCCTGTGC